TTTCCAGACTCCGGTCTGGGCGCTCTCACCCCCCTCGAAGGAGAATCAGTTTGGTGTCTTCTTTCCCCTCACTCGTGGGAGGCCCGCTGTAACTGCGTGAATGTTACAGTGATGTCCACGTGGAAGGAATAAATCACCCTCCTCTTTTTCAGCAAAATCTCTGGAAACGGTGCTCGGGAGATCTCCTTTGAATCCTGGGAGAAAGTTTGGCCTGGGAAGGGCGCTCAGACGGAGGCCATCCCAAACATGGAGCACAGCTGGCCTCTGATCGATCCTTTGCAATGGCGTCGATACAGAAGAGAGGCCTCCAAGCCCAGTGAAAATCTGTGGGATGTTGTGGCTGACATGCCAACAAGGCCTAGTCAGTTCCTCAATTAGGCCTCCTTCCCAGAGAGGCCCAAGGGGCATTTTGCAGGGGAGACAATTTATTGGGGTACATTTCTGCCTCCTCCTGCCCAGAGAACATGGTGGGTTGTGAGACGGAGCAGAGTGGAAGAGGTGGAAGGATAAATCCCCCTTTTTCCCTCCCTGAAAATTTTTGGACTTAATTTCCTTCCCTGTGAAATTTCTGAGGTAAAGCTTTTGGAGCTGCATTTCTTGGTGCCCTTTTCCCACTTCAAGGCTCTTTCCTCAAATATTTCCTCCCTTTTGGGGGGATTTTGGCCTTCATGGGCCATTGCGTTGTTGTCCCAGGAACTCTGGGGGGTTCTAGCTTGGCATGCAATTTTGTCCAATAAACACATCAGGGTGGAGAAAATAAATTTGTTCCACACAGAGTAAGGTGCCTGGGAATAATTTCCAGAGCAGGCACACCTATTTGCCAATCAACCCAGCTTTTATACATTCTTGAAATGAAGAACTACATGATAATTGGTAGGCAGTAATTACTCATACCTTGGGTGGGCAAAACTCTCCCAAAAGGTGGGCACTTTGTTATTGCTAAGGGAAATATGAGCTAGGTGGTATCTTCTCTCTCTCCTTGTTAGTGCTGGTGAGCCCAGCGGGTTCCTCCAGTGCGGAGGTATCACCCTGCTGGCACTTCTCAGCTCCAACTGATAAGAAATGCTGTATTCAAAGAAAAAAGAATTTTGCGCCCAGTGTGCAACTTAAGTATATGCTTTGTTCCCAGCAGCTAGTGAAGATCTGTTCTGGGCCATACATAATGTTTCTGCTGCCTTCTTCAAATTAACCCTAAGATCACCATTCCATCAACATGACTCCCTGTGTCTCGGCCACCATCTTTTCCCCACTCAGGGCAATGGCAATTCCCCAATAAAAGGGCCCCTTCATTTCACAGGGGCAGCTTCATTCAGAAATACATTTATTTTACAAGAAAACTATGACAAAGAAAATGTCTCATTCACTGGGTCACCCCCAGAGCTTCTACTCCCTCTTTTTTCTTGCTATACATATGTATGAATGCATATTTCTCTGAATAAACCAGAGTTGGGTTACCACAACACATTCAGCTGAAACAACTTGGAGGGGTTTACCCAAGAGATGAGCTGGACCTAAGGATGGGACTGCTCCCCCCAAGCCTTGCAGGGGGCAGAGAAGGAAGGAGGAGTGGCAGGCAGACTCTGGAGGAAGCCTTTTTTGGGGAGGGGGAAGAGGGGCTCCCTCCTCTCAGAAAAGGGCCCTCAATTCTTCCCTGATACAGGTCTGGCCGTATCAGGAGGTCCCTTTGAAGTCTCTGCAGAGAAAGCAGATGGAGGCCAAAGACCCAGCAAGAAAACGCCTTGGTGGGACTCAGATGGGAGCCTGGGAAAATTTGTTCACATTCAGCACTTCACAAGGCAGCAAAAACATTATGTATGGTCCAGAACAGACCTTCACTAGCTGCTAGGAACAAAGCAGATAATTCAGCACTCATGAGGATCCATATTGCTATCTGGGTGATTCCTTTTCATGGCAACAGCTTTGCTCTTTGGAAGATGAAGTACAACCTGACCATCTTGCATTCCCTTTTCCAGATTGAGGAAGAGCCCTTACAACTTCTATGGTTGCAACAGAGGCGCCATCAATGAGTTAAAATGAGACTGGAGAGTTAAAATGTCCTAGAGAGGCCAGACTTCCAGCCAGGATCCTTGCTTCCTGCTCAGTGGTCCTTGGGGTTAAATTAGGACTCCCAGATCTGGGCTTGCAAAACCAGAATGGCCACCAGCACGATACAAAAAAACCCTTAATTCTTTGCTGCCATCTAGCACTGGCCTGCACCTTTTATCCCAGACATGGGAGTTCTCCTTTCAGGCCCATTTCTCTACCCTGGGAATCACTGAGCTAATTTTTGCTCTTTGCATTAAATATGACATGCAGTGTAACCTCTTTCATATAGAACAGAATGCAAATTTTATTTATTTCTCTGACAGCTCTGAGCAGCATATATATTTGAAGGGCATTGTTTTGATACACAATTTTACTCTCTCTCTCATAATGTGTGGGCATGCATGTGATAGTGCACTCT